AATGGCTGAGAAAGCCACTTGGGGAACATTCTGAGCTTCTGATTGGTTATTCATGTCATATATAGAAATGGAAAGAGGTGGGTGGGGCCACTGTGTTTGCTTCAGTACATGAGCAATATCTCAGCAAATAGAAAAGATAGGAGGTTCATATCTTATATTCTAGCTTGTCAATATTGGTAATTTGAATTTCTAATTTGTACGAAACTATAGACTCAGTATTTTGACTTCACAAACAGTGCTGCATTCAATAAACCACGTGACACACACAAAAATCGATCTTTATCTATTTTTTTTTAATATTTGCTTTCAAATTAACAAATTGAGTAATGTATAGCTCTAAAATTTGGATTATAATCTACAGTTTGATACCAAAATTATTGACATAAATTCCTAAAATAGTAGTTCAATAAAATTTTGAATGCGAGTCAACAAACAAGATGATATGGCCTTTCACCTGTGACCCATCTCGAAAGGGTTAAATATTTTCTTTTGATCATTTACATTTGCCAGATGTGTGTAGACTTTGAAATGGTAGCTGTCTGATTACTATATTTGTCTCAAATGAAGGTTGAATCAGTTACACTAGTTACAGTTATATATTTGTAATGTTTAACATGTAGTGTTTAATAACACAGGGCTAACCTAAACCTTTTAAGCTGGAAAAACTTGTGAATGACTTGAATTTATGGCTGAAAATATTCTTAACAGTAAGTGTATCCAGCTGATAAAACAATGCATTGTAATCTTTATAAGTAAAGGGATTAAGTACTTGGTTGGTTTTTAGCTTTGATCTGAGTAGGTAGCTTGCTCTGATTGAAAGTTAATATTAATTAAACATGTTAGATAGACTAAAAGAAAATCATATTATGAAGTCCAGAAATAATGATTGTGATGAATTGGTCCTATAAATCAAAGTAAATACAAGAATTAGACATCTAATGCTTAGAATAGATCTACATTAACTAAATATGTGTCGAGTCAGTCTGTTAGGCTGATTCTGTATTGGAGAAGGAATGACCTTAATTCTGGATTTACTACATGTTTCTACACAAAATTTGGCAAGTTTTAGTTAAATTACAAGTCTGTTGTACACAAAAAAATCAGTTGTCCTACAAAAATATTTGTAAAAATATGTCTGTGAATTGACATGTCAGTCAGACTCTGACAAGTTGGAGTGCAAGGTGATGTTCAAGTAAAGAATAGAAACACTTTTGTCCATTTTACTATTTGCATATTGTATTTAATTAACCTCTGTAACCTCCAGAATGCATGACTACAGTTTTTTGAGAATTTCTGTTGTTTTTTTCAGAATCTCTCTACATTATATCTGGTAATTACTTTCTTCTACCATAAATTATCACTAAACCAGCATTTTAGGATAAAATGAATGGTTGATAACTTTGACATAAGATACATACCACGTTGAGTGACATTCTGTAAAAGGTCCTGGCATGTACACTTTGACCCCTACCTGTACACATGTGGGATGGTAGAATATTATTTTACTTTAACTCAGTGTTTACGGGTAGGTCCATCAGATTATGGTCACCCCTATACTGTGCATATCATGAGATTTTACCTTTGTTTCATTCAAAATTTAATTAAGCAATCTTTCTATCAATGCATACCAATTAAATTGTCATTAAAATTTACATTATAGTTCAAAGTTTTATATTATCTAAGTTTTAATTCATTTATTTCAAAAGAAACTTTAAAGAAAAATTCTTAAACTTCGGTTTGACAATTTCAGTTAGTTATTTACAAAGTTTTAACGTTTCGACTTTGTATTTTGAGAACAACTTGCTAGACTAAACGTTCCATACACAGAAAGAATCTTAAGTTAATTGCTCTGTTTATACATCTGTTCATTAGGACACGTTTGTAGGAAAGAGAAATAAATTGTTTGGAACCCTTGACAGATGCCATGCCTACTCTATATCCATACATATGCAATTTTTCAGCCAATTATACTTAGTTGAGCTAGGTGTTTGTAACGAATAGAAAGACCACATTTCAAAATACTATTTCCCAACAGTTATTTTAAAATTGGCATGAAGAATTCCATTCAGAACTTGTTAAACTCTCTTATTATTTAACAAAATCTGTCCAATTTTTATCAAGATACATTAAGAAATCTCAGATTTATTGTAAGTATTGTTGAATTGTGTATCATTGTCCATACAAACTATTTCCAATAAACTTACCTGTAACTAATGAGTAATGGGAAGACTATATTTTATTACTGTATGTTTTTAAAAATGTATTGTTGTAATATCTTATGAAATAGGTTGTAACATTCCCAAGTGCACAAAGTGAAAGCTAACTTTGTTTTAACTAATATATTAGTTTTCCTGAACCCATTTTGGTGAGTGACTATTTCACTTTTGAGACTTGTTTTCTGGTTTTGAAATTGAAAAATATTGTTAACGGCAAGGATTCAGTGTGTTATAATCATTATTGGCTTTAGTATTGTTGTGTGATAGGAGTCATGACATGAAGTACTCCTAGTCAGTTTGTTAAATAAGGATGGCTTCGTTAATTTAGGAATGTCATTTTAGTGCGTACTTTTATTATGAAGAATTTATTGATACCAGTAACAGAGAGATAAATTTTGTTTTACAGCTATTGTATTTGTTGTTACAATGTGGACACAATGTTGAAGAAGCTCTGCGTAGAAGACGAATGCAGCCTTCTCATCTAGTTGGTTAGTACACTTTCTGAAAGTGAATGATCAAAAAATGTTCTATTTTGTTTACTTTTATAATTTTAGTATGTTGAAAAGAAAATTCTGTACATTTTAATAAGAAGTGATTTTTGTCGATCATTTTATACCAAATGATCATATAAGTTTTGTTTATCAAAAGTTTATTATGAAGTACTAACTGTATGTAATGTTTTAATTTTTCTTATCTACACGTCACATTATATGTAAATAGTATGGTTTAATTTGGTTAAATTTATTATTTTCTTGTCTACCTTTTATAGGTAAAACTAAACCAATAGATTAACTTACTGACTAGTGGGAGGATTTAACGATATGAGCCCCCCCCCCAGTAGCAAAGTGGTATGTCTGCAGAGTTAAAATGCTAGAAACCGGGTTTCAATACCTGTGGTTGGCAGAGCACAAATAGCCCATTGTGTAGCTTTATACTTAATTACCAACAAACGAACCTGAAAATTAGTTAATACATAAAGGACACAAAATGTCCCCCAGGATCTCAAAGAAATGAAATAGGATGTAAATATAGTTTCAATAGCTGTATGTAATCTTAAATTTGTGACTTTTCATAAACCAAAGCAAATAATTATGTTGTAAAAGTCACAATACGAGTTGATTTGAAGTTGTCTTCTGTGGACTAAAGAATTAATACTTGCAAAGAATACTATACACTTGAAGAAGTTAGTTTGACAAATATTAAAATTCCATGCTCTGCTTAGGACTCAGTCTTTAAAGGTCTACTCCCTGTAGATATAGCAAGTTGTTTCCACAACATTTAGCTAGTATTATCAGTGTCACTCATGGGTAGAAAAAACGTTATGCTGTGATCATATTGAGTCTGTTTTATGAGGTTGTGTAGATGATATATAAGTAAAGTTTGCCCCAAATGGTTTTCATGTAATGCACAGATATCAAAACTATGTGAAAGGTAAAAGCCAGTAATATTATTAAAAGACCAACAGTAAACACTGCCAGTGGAAATCTAATATTTCTGTGTATGGCTGGTTTCTCTACAACTGCAACAATTCTGACATGCTAATCAGACAGGCACTAAGTCTTTTTTGATCATTACCTGGACAGGTTTAACCACCTTACTCAATTAACATTATGGTCATCCTGATAAGTAACAAACTTTGCTTGAATTATATTCAATCATAAGCACCATCATAATTTTCAAGAATGTCAAATCACACACATCACTAGGCCAGTCCCATTGAAAGGAAAAGGGACAATAGGTTCTCAACATTCCTTTCTTCCCATGTGACGTCTGTGTTACTTAAGTTATTAAAGATTATCTTAATAACAAGACCAATGAAGATGCCAAAAGAACAGGATACTTGTTCTCTTAGATTGATCTCCTGCAGTGTGTAACAAGTGTAATAATAAGTACACGTCGAGATTGAGCACATCCTGTTTATACAGAACACTTAAGTACAGCTATCTGTAGGAGAAACGTTTAAAAAATATCAAGTGTACCCGATATGATAGAATTCATCTACATACTACACCAGCACCAAGAGTATCACATGAACATTCTGTTACTACTTAAATAACTGTACATGGTTCATTGAAATTCATCTACATACAACACTAGCACCAAGAGCAACACATGAACATCCTGTTACTACTTAAATAACTGTACATGGTTCATTGAAATTCATCTACATACAACACTAGCACCAAAAGCATCACATGAACATTCTGTTACTACTTAAATAACTGTACACGGTTCATTGAAATTCATCTACATACAACACTAGCACCAAGAGCATCACATGAACATTCTGTTACTACTTAAATATCTGTACATGGTTCATTGAAATTCATCTACATACTACACTAGCACCAAGAGCATCACATGAACATTCTGTTACTACTTAAATAACTGTACTTGGTTCATTGGAATTCATCTACATACAACACTAGCACCAAGAGCATCACATGAACATCTTGTTACTACTTAAATAACTGTACTTGGTGTTAAAACTGTGTTTTAATTCAGTATTTCTAGTTATATAAACGTCTGTTTGGTTGATCATAAAATCACAAATGTGTATGTGCTAGTTTCAGTTAAGAGCAGTAATTTAGATCAGCTGCTTGGATTTAGTAGTATTTTCTTCAGACTAAGAAATACATTAATAATTATTTCTGGTTTACAAACAGGTATATATAGCTTTTTTCTTGTGTTAGTTTTTTTATAAAATCTTCAGTTACAGTTAGTGTATTTAGAAAGTTGAAGTTGCTTAAACTATATAACTAAAAACAGTGGTAATGATAGAAGACTTTTGATAAAAATGTTTCCTACCAGACAGTTAATTTTTACTAATTACAAACATAAACACACACACACACACACATGATCATTCTGCTACCATTTCTTGCATCCAAATATAATTTGGTAGTATTCCTTATTTGTTCCTGTTTCTGTAACAAAAATGTCAGACTGATGTCCCAAAAAATTGTAGTCCTAGTAAATTTGGAAACTTTTAAGCATTTTGAATGCACAAATAATACATATTAAAATTTTAGAGTGACTGTTGTAATTTTACTTTAAACATAGAATTTAATGTATGTGGGATTTTTATTTTTTATTTTGTTTATTAAGGTGAAATTAATCTTTTAAAATGCTATATCTTTTTATTACTCATAAAGCTCAAGATTGCAACCTGAATACATTTGATTCAATTGTAGAATGATATTGAAAACTCAAAATTATTTTTGAAATAAATTATCTTTGAAATGGTCAGTTCTAATTACTCAGTGATTCATCTTACCTTGTTCATATTGAGAATGTATATCATTGTTGTAAGAATTTATAGGTGACTGTTAAGGTACTATGATATACAATTGACTTGGACAAAATTATAGAATTGAAACTTGATACAATGAATTTATATTCTGAAGAATGTTGCCTGTTTTAAGGCACTATAATATGAAATTGACTCAGCTGAATTACAGAATTTAAAATTTGCACATACCATGAGTTTATAGTCTGAAGAATTTTGCCTGTTTTGTTAAGATACTATAATATTAAATTGACTCGGATAAAATACAGGATTTAAAATTTGCATACCATGTGTGAAGAATGTTGTATGTTTTAAGGTACTATAATATGAAATTGACTCAGATAAATTAGAGAATTTAAAATTGCAGATACAATGAGTTTATGGTCTGAAGAAGAATGTCGCAGCTTTGAAAATGGATTACGAACATATGGAAAAGACTTCCATTTATTACATCAGAACAATGTAAGACTTGTATTGATTTTCTCATTCCTAAAACCTAATGGAATTTTGAAACTTTGGAATACTGCATTAATAGTGAGAAAGATGAAAAAGTAATAAATTATGTTCTTTTTTGACTGACACAATTTTTACGAAAGCTTTAAAGTTTAGGTAATTTCGTAATTCTAGGAGGTAAGAAAAATTTTGTGATATCAACTATTAGACTAGCAATAGACAAACTACTGAAACTGACCATATGATAACATGCTCACTCCAGTGTGGGGAAGAGATGTGTATGTTTATAAAAAGCTCTACTCGTGCAGATGGATGATTCTGTAACTTTATTTTGCTTAGATATTTAACTATTATTAACCTTGTTAGTTGTCAAGATTGTTAAATCTTTTTTTTTTTTCTACTTAAATTAGGTAAGAACGAGATCTGTTGGGGAATTAGTTCAATTCTACTATTTTTGGAAGAAAACTGAAAGACACGATGTTTTTGCTAGTAAAAACCGGCTTGAAAAGAAGAAATACGCACTTCACCCGGGCACAACGTATGTACAGGATTGTGTACTAGACTGAAGGATTTAAACATGTATTTTCAAACACTAAATACAAACTTGCCAAAGAAATCTTTGATGATCATTCAGAATTTAGTTTTTTCTCTCTAACAATAGAATTAATTATTATACTTCATTTATCAAATGGGTTTTGTAACGTTATGGGCCAATCTCCTGTTAAAACACATGAACCAAAGATCTTATGATATAAGAAACAAAAGTTTGTTACTGTTTGTACAACTAAACAAAGATAGACAAAGTCATGTTACCCCTCTCGCCTCGGGTTTACTGCGCATGACACAAGGTTTTAGTGATTTACATTCAAAATTTTATCAAACTACATTTTGTTTATATTATACTAATTAGTATAGCATAAAATCTTAGCTAATAATACATATTTTAATAGTATGTAAGTTTTAAGTTCTTAATTTTATAAGGCAATATTTTCAAAGATGCTGAATTTCCCCGAGTGACACATTTTCTCTAGGTATCTTCTTGTCTCTATTTTATTCCCCCCCCCCCCCAAGAAACTACAAAATTAAATGTAAATTACTCACTATAAAATCTTCATTGTTCAGGCGAACAATAATTTTTATAACCTTCAATTTTGTTTGGTTACAGAGCTATCAAATAGAAAATCAGACCTCTCCTGCCAAACCCATCTGTCACATGCTGTTTTTCAGGATTTGTTAATAGTTCTCTCTTACATTTAATTATATATTACCTATAACCAGTAGAAAGTCAAGGTTTTCATCTATCAAAGGATGTATTGTATAACATTGTATTCTGAACAGAATATTGTCAGTTTCACTCACATTACAAGAATCGTTCCCAAGAGAAAGTTAACGACTAGCTTGGATGAATTTGTAAGGGCTCTGGCACATAGTTAGAAAGCCAGGAAAATTGTGTTTGTTAGAAGAAATTGTCTACTTTTTGCATGCTATTAGTCTATGTTCTTTGGTGCATTATTTAATTAATTATAATTATTTAATGTACTACTACCATTAGTATAAAAAAAGTAGGGTTAACTGTTATCGATAGTCGAGAGCGAAAAAAATAATACTTTTGTAAGTACTTTATTTCTTGTTTTTTTTATGTTTATTCTTTATTATTATAAAAGTAACTAAAATGTGTCATGAGGCATGCATGTGAGCAGGTAGGAATAGCTCGTGGGTAAGTAATTCGATAGCATAACATGAGCTGCATGTTCCCCAAGTGATTTACAACTTGTAATGGCACAAATAGTAGTTAGACATGGTTCAAAGGGCAATAAAACAATATAATTTAATTATGTATAGATGTATACTGTTATGAGCTTAAAGCTACTTAGGATAAACGAATGTAGTTTCATGTTACATTTGAAGTCATTCTAGAAAGAAAAAGATAATTTAGATTTTTGTTTGGGGGGGGGGGGTTACAAGGTCAATCAAGTGGACCAACCTTCTATAGAGTTAGGGTAGAGAAAATAACAGATAAAATATAAAGTTTTACTGAAAACAAACATTTGAAATGCATTTGAGAGGTTTTAGTGATTACACAAATGAGACTTGGAATAAACGAGTACAAAGAGGTCACCTAGCCCATGTGAAGAGAAATTTGGTTCATAAAAGTTGAGAACATGATTTCTAAATATAAAACAATTGCTGTTTAGAGACTTCAGAAAAAAATAGTTATAAATATAAATAATTCTGATTTTAGAACTGGTCACAAAAACCATTAAACGTAGTAAAACATTAACATGACACCTATGCAAATGATACAAAACACTTGTCAGGGTTGAATAGATGGTATCAGAGCTATCGAAAGAACTTAGAAGATTTCATAAAAAGAATGGAAAAGCTATAAACCCTCAGATTACTGATTTGATTTTACACCATTCACTGTCTGTGAATATTGCATCATATTGAGTAATTTTATGTTTTTGCTTGTTAAACTGACTTATTGTAAAGAACTGATGAAAATATATGGGTGAAACAAGTTATATTCCATATAAAATGCATAGTGGTCCAAGCAGTAATGAGTGGGATTAAATGCAGTATATTGATGATGTTATTTTATGTGACGTGTGTGTTATTAGGAACCCTACAATCAACAAAGTCGGGACCCACCAAAATTCTGGTGTTTAACTATTGTACAAATTTTGTTTAAAAAGTTGATGGGATAGGGACTATTAGCATTCTAGGGTTAATCTTATTGTTTAAAATTATTTTATCATTACAATTTTTTTTCTGTCAACTTGGTTATCTGCTTTGTATACCTTTGGGTATCTTACACATGCAGAAAAAAACTGGTTTATCATAAGAAATAAGTGATGGATACTTTATTCTTTTCGTAATTTTATAACTAAGGATGTTCCAATTGATTAATCAGCCATAAAACTGATGAATTGGAGTCGGACATTATTTTGTTTGTAATTGGTCGATTAACATCAGGAAGAAAATTGGTGAAGTTTGACTTTTCAATTACCATACTTTCAAAAATCATTAATATGCCAATATAAATTTTATGTCTATATATGATCATAGTTTGGGGTTATTTGTTCCACACGTAAGTCTCATGCAAATTGTGGAAATGTTTTTATGTAATTCGTGAGCATGGTCACTGGTGTTCCTAAGTTTGTTTAAGTTTCCTTATGTTTGCAACATCATACAGTTTTCAAATCCGTATAATGATTGACATCTCCCTAGTTCAGAATAAGCCTTAGATAGTTCGAACACATCACACAATCAGTATTACATGTATCTTGTGCTTATCTACAACTACAAATAGCATGCTATTTTGACCAGCTACACTCCAAGGTGGGAGATAAGTGCATTTCTTGTTTTGTGTCCTGGCTTTGGCTAACATCATGCTTAAAGTAAGAGATGTTGTGTTAGTTTTGGAGATCAGAGAAGACACCAAACATTAATTTAAATTTGCTTAAAGAAGATAAGTTACAAACATGAAACTTTTTTCCTGATTACATACATTATGATGCAGAGAGAGATAATGTACTCATTTTACACAAGTCTTGAAAAACAGTTACATTTACACTTAACTCTTTCCAGACTGGTGTCTTGTATTTATTATAAGAGCAAGTGACATCAGTAGATTTTAAGAAATTCTGTTGTTGTATATTTTATTAATATTTGTTTTGAAAAATGCAATACAAACTCTTAACTCTAATTCAGGTTTCCTCTTCCATTGTAATGTGTATTTGTGGAGCAGAAATATCTGAATTTCCCACACACTTAGATAAAATCTTGTCAGTGTAGAAAATGAAGCTGTATGTGTGTTTTTTTGCACATTCTTATTGCATAGTTTCAGCTCAAATCCTTTAAAATTGGTGATGCCAAAAACTGTAAAACACAACTTGTTGCATGTTATGTTTACTCTCTTCAAAACTTTTATAGCTAACAGAAATATTTGACATAGTTCTTTCATTGAGATTCTAAATTTAGTCAGTCTTCCATCTTAAAGGAATCTAATTATATCATGTTTTCTTTGTAAAAGTAATATATTAATTTAATTGTTCTCCTACTTGCCTGTTTATTTTGGAGTAATTACCTTGACTATTCCTTTTCCCTATACAGAAACATGTACTTGCAACTTGAAACTAATGTTACCTTATGTAGAGTAATGGTATGTTTTTCCCCAGCAGGAAATCAGCAGGGGTCTTTTTTTTTTTAAACAGGTGTTCTTAATTTATAAAATGATTACAGAGGTGACTTTTATAAATGAGTTAAATACTATAATACATTTTATTGCAAAATAGTTATCAATAAAGTGGATTAACTTATTATAGGCATGGCCGTTGTATTTTTATACAAGGAAGTGTGCATGAAGCCTGGCGTTCAGGTCGACAGTTATATGACATAGTATACATTTACTTTATGTAGTGGTTTTTACTTGACTGCAAATTTACTAACAAAAAATATCTGTGGTTCAAAAACATTCAGTAGTTAGCATGCTTTGTTTGAAGTCTGTGTTTTACTGATATTTTGGTTTCTGAGTTTTATTAATGCAGGTACAGAAGTTATTGCTGTGCTGTCACTGGGCTGGAAGGTGTTAATCTGTTAGTTTCTAAAAATTTCCTTAATACTAATACTTCAAAAGCTATTACTGTTATGCAACCAGTGGTCACAATCTGTGAAAATTGGTAAAACATGTATATGTAATTAGGATTTTATGTGCGTAGTTTAATCATTGAGCAGCAGAAGAGTTGCAGTGGTTCCTCTGGACTAATTAACATTTGTGTTGGAGTGTAAAGACAAAATTAAAAACAAACATTTTCTTCCTAGCTAGTCAGTATTTCATTTGATTTCACTAATCAGTTTATGATTTTCAAGAACTTAAGTGAACACTAGTAGTGGGTATGGTGAAAAGGTACAAACTTTTATATCAGGGATCCCAGTGAACCTTTAAAACCTGTATGATTGTATAAAAAGTCCTTAATAACAGTCTGTAAAAACTTATCATTATAGGAATAGAAGTATGTGTTCTTTTCATTCTTAACGTAAAATTCAGCTCCTAGTTACAGCTGTCATACATGAATATATTCTCAGTTAGAAGGCAAGAAAAGTTTTCTTGTTAGGTAGGAAACAACTATGTTTGAAATATATATATATCAATAGTTTGTTTTATTTAACTGATTACAGTATAGCACCTCCACAAGAGATTTTACTTAGACACAGCCTGTAATTTGTCAAATTTAACTTTAATTTTAAAGGTTGGCAGCACCAGCAGACAGTGTTGGGATGTCTGGTAGATAAATGTGGTTTAATCCTATTACATTCCACATTGGTGCAAGGAATACTTCCTTAATTTTACTTTGTTATTTGTTTATTGTTTCAAAATGTTAAAACAGTTTAAATAAGTGTTTCTTGGCTGCTTAGGGACTATATGGACCGGTTCCTAGATGAACAAGAAAACTCCCCCACCCAGAGGGATCAGTCTTCCAGTCCTTTTTATCAACGACTCTTGTCTGGGGAGTCAAAACGGCAAGGTCCTAGTCCATCTACTGCCACCGAAAAGAACGAGTCCATTGGTGAGAAGACTAATTTTCCTTTTACAAGAACAGAAGAAGGAAAAAGTGCAAATTTTCATGAGGGAGCAAAAAGTTTTGAGAAAGGAGTTGATTCTGTGAGAACTATTGGAGAAGGTATGTCTTTGACTCACATGAACAATGGAAATGTGGCCTCTCTGCACATTAGGTCTACGTCAGAAAAACAACCAGTCACCTCAACTAGTATTGAGACCCTCACCTCCCAGCCTGCTGATTTCAGGAATATATATCCAATTAAGCGTTATAATGAAGGTTCAGCAGTCCATAGCTCATGACATCATGTATCTCATGGTTCATTGGTTAATTACACAAGTCATAACTTCATTAAAGCTTCAGCAGGTCACTGAATGTGCAGAAAAAGAGTGCAATTGTTCCATCTCATGTGAGGGGATGACTTTAATACGGTGAATTGTAAGGTGTTTTATTTGTGACAGACTGGATTTATGGAATAATCATGTAATTCACACACAAAAAAGAATAGTTTGAGGGTTCCTTTAAGAAAAAAAAAAAAATAGATACCATGATGTTTTTAAACTTTGAAGTTTTTAACCTGTGCTTAAGATGGAAAAATTTGGAATGTTGTAGCCTCGCGTTAAGTGTATAAATGCAATAAATTATTTGAAGCTTGAAGGTGAAAACCGTTTCGTGATATATTAACTGAGGTTGTTGATTAGAAACATTAGGTAAAAATATTCCATCTGATCAGTAAACTTTTCAAAGAGTTTTGTAAAAATTGTTTTTAAATTTTTTAGTTGTCCTGTGTACTTTGAGGGGTGAAAGTGAAATTTAGGGAAAAAAATCATGCATCAAAAATTTTGAACAGTACACTTAAACTATGTGTAATGATGTTCTGAAACAGTGTATGCTTTTGCTACCTTCTGAACCATTTTTCACTAGATTATTAATATAGTGTCTAATGAAGGGCCACTGAAGTATACCCTTAAATAATACTGCAAAAATGTTTTAGAAAAAAGAACATGTTAAAGATGCCCTCTTTAAGAAACATTGCATGTATATGTGTATCTGTGGGTTGATTATTTTTAAACTTGTTGCAAATAATTAACATTCCTAATGATGGGGAAAAATAAATTAAGTAAAACTTTGTCTGTGCCAGTATATATCATAAAGTTTCAAGCTCTCAGACTTCCCATAAATTGAAAATTCTTTGTGGAGCAAAACGTGTGCAGTGACAGTTATCTTATTATTGTATATTAACTGTATTTATAATGGCACTTTTCTTTTTAATCATGGAGAAAAAAAAATTTAAAAGTTTCTTAAGTTAATTTTTAAAGTGCAGGTCATTGTCGCATGTGACATTTAAATTCTCTTAAAAAGAACTTTATGAAGTGAAGATACTTAACTGACTTCAGATGTGGGATCAAAAAAGTTGTGGATAATGTGTTTTTCTTCAAGACTGTATTTCCATGTGTCTGATATGTTATACTTTCCTGCTTGGTTGACAGTGTTGTAAGCTTATCTAATCTCACTGTGTACCTTTTTCAATTTATAAGCTTTATATGCTAATCTTCACAGTGATAATTTGGGTCATGTATATAGACATATATATATTAGTAATATGTTCTATAGAGTATTTGCATATCTTCTAAGAGTATCTCCTAACTTTTTAATTACTGACCAGATGGAAAGCAGCCAGTCAGTAGCACCTGTAGCTTGAAGAATGATTAAAAGATGCTAGGAGGGTTTTTGTTTTGTCTGTTTATGGTGTAACTGGTAAAACTGATAAAAGAAAGCAATCTGCTTGAAAAAAAATGTATATGAATTCACTTTATGTGATATCTCATTATCCAGTGCATGTATGCTTTCAAACTTCATTATTGGGAAATGAATATTTTTGTATCATCATATTGAACTTTTCTGATGTCCTGCTTTAGCAATGACAGAAACCCAGTTGTCAAGTTACTCGTCTGTCCATGCTATCATGATTGCTTATTCTTTTTGATAAGACGCAACTTGTATTATTTTTAAACTATCCGTACTGAAGTCATATTAGTCGACATTTTAACAAGTATCCCTTTTCTCAATTCCTTTATCATGAACTTGATTTCAAAACCAGCCAATAATTTTTGTGTGTCTGGTAGATTAGGTACATTAAGATTGACAGATTCAATTTATTTAACAAGGGTTTGTGGCATATTAGTGTTTTGGAGTGACTAGAAGGGTTTACAGATTGCATGCACATGTTACTAGTGTGTATATTATGGTAATATAGATTGACTTTGCAAAGTTCATTTGTGTTAAGAGGTGATCAGGTATCTGTATTGTTCTGTTGTAGGAAACACCTTTCCACCATTAGAAATATGTTCTTAATTTTAAAAAGTATTACTATAATTTTACATCTCTCCAAGTTTCTAGAACCTACTTTTGAAATATGAAATAAAAATGAAAGAAATATTCTAGATGGCGTTGAATGTCAAGATGATTTTCGGAATTAAAAAAATAATCATTTGTCACCAACAAAGTAAGCTATTCATTTGAACTTTATGGTAGGCTTATAACATTTAAAATAAACACAAAATTCATAAATTGCTGAATTAACATCGAGATGTATTTAATAAGGTTAATTGGGGAATATAGAGGGGAAAAAACTTTTTTTCCTCCCCATATGTTTCACTAAAAAAAAAAAAGAGTATTTAATATCTTCCATACAATTAATACACACCACATATATTCAACCTGTACTACCTTCTATCCCCTCCCTCTACAAATTACCTTGTTAACCTAGCAGTTTACTTAGTTGGCAACCAACATTTTTGTTTTCCAGCTATTGTCCTCACACAGAGAAGTCAAAGCAACAGCAAATGTCATCATTCAAATTTTATACAAAATTGGGAAATGGGGGTAAATATTTTAAAAATGAAACACCTGAGTAATGAAATTAACATTTTTAATTTTTGACTGTCAGTATTACCTGAAATTCTTTATGAAAGAAGTATGATAGGTACTAAACATTTTAATATATTTAAAAACACATTTTCACATCAGTGTTTGCCACTTTTCTGGACTTTTATATGAAAATATTTTCCCAGCTTACTATAACAAATGACTGTTTATTAAATCTTATTTTTCACACCAATGAAGTTACAAATAAAAAGCAGGTAAACTAAAATTGGCTTTATATTAGATCGTCAATAAATTAATATCGCTTGTTTTTAGATGAAAAACCCAAACAAATTATATATCAAAACAAAACATTTATTAAATGAAATAGTCTCCATTCTTATCAATGGTGCTTTTCCATCATACAATCAAGCTGTTAATGCTTTGATTAAAGAAATCACTTGGCTTTGAAGCAAAAAACATGTTGATATCCTCTTTAACACCTTCCACATTTGCAAACGTTTTCCCATTAAGTTGGTGTTGCAGCGAACGAAAAAGATGGTAATCTGATGGTGCCATATCTGGAGAATATGGTGGGTGGGGGAGAACTTTCAACCCAACTCCATGATATTGTGTTGTGCCACATGTGGACATGTGTTGTCGTGGAGAAGAAGAACACCTTTCTGATTGACGAGTGAAGGGCATTTCTGATGAAGGGCTTGATTTAATTGTTCCAGTTGCTGACTATAGATTTCTGCATTGACAGTTCACTGTGGATTGAGGAGTTTGAAATGAATTAATCCTTTGATATCCCACCAAATGCAAAGCATCACTTTCTGTGGATAGAGTCTAGGTTTTGGGGTCAGAAGTGGTTTTTGTCTAGGACTGAGCCATTGTTTTTGGCATTTAATATTCACATAGAGAATCCATTTTTCATCACCAGTGACAATTCTGTCCAAAATTGGTTCACACGCATTACACGCCAGAAGAGACAAAGCAACGTTCACACATTGGAAACTATGATCATCGGAGAGTTTGTGAGGCACCCCAACACCTTTATGGAGTTTTCCCATATTACTTAAATGTTTACGTATTGTTTCATGAGAGACG